TACTTACTATATATATATATATATATATATATATATATATATATATATATATCAAGCTGTGAAAATACAGCACGACAGTGTTGGGATTGGCAAAAGTAATCATAGCTGGAAATGAACGCATGCAGATTAGGCAACTAAGGAATGTTGGAGGATTTACGGTATGTCTCAAATTAGCTTTAGCTTTAAAGGCATGTTGGACACAACATGTCTTGGAGACTGGAAAGAACGTTGACAATAGTTAGATACCCTACTCAGTGTCCAATTTTCAGAAACTAAATTAGTGTCAACATTAGTCTTAACATTAACGTTAACATTAACATTACGTTTCCCGTAGAACGGACCTCTATACACTGCGCATGAAAAACTCGTAACTTTGCTAAGATTCTGTCAAGAGTCCAAAAGAAAAGGTTAATGTTAAGACTAATGTTAACACTAATTATTTTTTCTGACAACAAAACCCAATTAGCAATAAATTTGAGTTGTTATAACGAGTCGTATATAAACCCATTACATTATTTTTGCAGCTGTACACATCCACGTGATCCAACTGTTAAATAACAACACTGTTACTTACTTGAATGAGATCCAAGATTCCCAGCTCACTCTCGGACGAGTCAACACAGAAAACAAAGTATAGTGTTGCATAGTGCCTATAGATTAACTTGTAATCTGAACCACCTATGAGACTGAAAAAAACATGCACAACTATTAAAACAAAACGATAATTACCATAAAACATCACTATCCAAGAAAACCAAGAATTCAAATCAGTTCAGTATAAACCTGACACTGTAGATTAATTCGTGAGTGGTTATAGAACTGTATATCAGCATATATATATATTCCTATCTTCCAACTTGTAATCCAACTACCTGCCACCTTCCAAGAAGTTGCAGACACTGTCATCACGTTTTGATACCAGCTGGAATGTCTCACGCACTATGTTCTGCTGCGCTTCCTCATTCTGCAAACATATTTAGTGCCTATAGTGGCATGTTTAGCAAGAAATTATCAAAATAATCTAGTCTGAGATTCGAATTTTTGCAAATAAAGTCACTGTAGTATAATACAGTGGTCCCCATTTTATTCACTCTCGCATGGGTTAGACTTAGAGTGCATAACTAGTAGGGCTGTAACAATCCACCAAAATCGGATCGCGATTCTCTTCCCTCGATCCGATCCTCGATATTTTTCCCTGTATTTTCGATTCCACTTCGATACCACTTTTTCCTCCAATAGATGGCGGCACTACGCTATATACTGTGGAGTGTTACTCACCAATGTTACTCAGCGGCTGCGCAGTGTATACATACTCTCTAGACTCTCTAGTCTATTCACCATTTAGTATTCATTGGCAATTTCTAATAATGTATTATTGCAAAATAATGAAAATATAAACAAGTGCCGCAGAGCGACAGCGCTCATCTAACGTCTACTGCGGTGACTCTGTGGTGGAGTGGTGGGATTCTAGTAAACCCTGTTAGTCCCAAATAGTGTTCACATACACGCCGAAACAGTGGAATTGCACAGGGATGGTATCAGGAACCTTCTCAAAGAATGTTCGTTGGGATCGTTATGAAAGTTGCCACGAGATGGCGCGTACGTTTAAGTGTCTTCAGATTAAAGATGGAAGCTCCCATCATACGTAGTAGCCACAACTATCTGCAAGACATAATAGGTAAGCACTCATCCATTTACCTACGCAACCTACAGGCTGCAATAGAGAGCTGCCACCTGTAACCAAGTTAACGGCAGGACAAAACTCCACAGTACCACCAACACATGCACTGGCAGTAGCCACTGGCAGTTGGCATACGTTACATGTAACATACTGACAGTACAGAATGCCATAGAAATTATAACGATTTAAGGAGCATAAACCTTCTTTAATCAAATTTAGGCTTTTGAAATTTCACTGTGACATTGTAGCCTTCATACATGCAGGCATTGTATCGATTCTACTAGCAAACACGGCAGTCAAATTCTTTCTAACAGACAGTCAACAAATCCATGTTTAACCTCCTCATGAGGGTCAAAAGGTTATCTGACACTTACTCTTCGCATGTCAGCAGGAAAGTAGATTTCATGGTCCTTTCAATAATGCCATAAAAATGCTAGGTCACCGGCTGAAACAAAAAAGTTTTTCAATCGCTCCGTCAGACCATGTCCTCAGAAAATGTCTAAAATCTGCCTGTGCCGGCCCATTGACCTTTGACCTGTGACCTCCAATTTCGGCAGCAGTAGGGCTTTTCCTACCATGATTCATTACACCGACTATCACGAGCCCTAGGTCGAGCCGTTTAGATTGTGCCGCAATTATGCATTTACTCCCTATACCTTGTAGTTAAGGAGTGAATGTTCCCCCTTCTTTTACACCTCTTGACCTTTGACCTTTGACCCCAGCTTCGACATCCCAAATCGTTTTCGGATTACCCCCCCCACGTCCCCAATATTTGGACCGTACGTCGAGCGGCTTAAGATTTGTGCCAAACTGTTGACGTACGGACGCACGGACGCACGGACGATCATGCGATTCTACAAGCTGCATCTGACTATGTCAGATGAGCTAAAAATAAGATAACATTTCAATATTTTGGGAATCAAATCGAAGGAATCGAATCGAGAGGCTAATATCGAGAACCGAATCGAATCGAGAGGCTTGTGTATCTTTATATACTGCCACTGGGTTCCTACGTAGTTTCCCATATAACCATCAATTAGTTCTAGCACTATAGCCCGCGTACAGTTGCCGCAGGGCTATAGAACATTTTATGCTAGGTTTCGCAACTGCACCTGTTCCCCAAAGCTTCCACAAAAAATCTCTAAAAAAACGCAAAATGATCGGGCTTTTTAACACTTATTTATCTACATGGACATCTCACCTATCTTTTTGAACACTTTCCACAACTTTACACCATGTATTTATGCATTTATTCCACAAAGTGCTAGCACTACTTGCGTTTCGTTTTCAATTGCTGTTGTGTACACGAGTGACGTCCCCCGAAATGTAATAGGCTGCATTATAGCTGCCCATGTGTTTTGTCTACATTTCGAGTGACGTCACGCGTGTACACAACAGCAATTCAAAACGAAACGCAAGTAGTGCTAGCACTTTGAGGAATAAATGCATAAATACATGATGTAAAGTTGTGGAAAGTGTTCAAAAAGATAGGCGAGATGTCCATGTAGATAGATAAGTGTTAAAAAGCCCGATCATTTTGCATTTTGTGAGCGATTTTTCGTGGAAGCTTTGAGGTACAGGTGAAGTTGCGAAACCTAGCATAAAATGTTCTATAGGCTATAGCCCTGCGGCAACTGTACGCAGGCTATAGTACTAGAGCTAACCACCAATGTGGTGGCGCGAATGCCGAATCGCTACCAGTGCTACACTGGTAGCTTCAAGAAACAATGGAAGGGTTGAGCAAAGCTGACTCAGACACGCCAACTAATCTCGTAATCTCACAATGATAACTCCTCACAGTCCAATGGCAATGGACTAAAACAGAGATGTCGGAGTAAATACACATTACACTGTGACTGTCACTACAGGATACAGCCAGTACTGTACTGCAGTAGTAGGCCTACTGTCGTACTGGTGAGTGGTGGTGGTACTGACGCTGAGAGGGTCCCCCGGGGTACTGCCGGAACGTACACTGGGTACGGTCCGGTATACCGGAACGTACCCTGGTACTATCTAATATGCCGGACCGTACCTCGCCTACTCCACTAACGAGTCTAGGGAGTCGCCTACGCCTACTCCCTAACCCTAACCCTAACCCTAACCCTAACCCTAACCCTAACCCTAACCCTAATCCTAACCCTAACCATATCAAATAGTGACCAGGGTACGTTCCGGTATACCGGACCGTACCCAGGGTACGTTCCGGCAGTAACCTGGGGGACATAGAGTCGTAGACCCTATGACTGAGCGGTACTGACTCTGACATGCAACATCAGAATTTTACAGCAGGCTTACATAATACTGGAAGAATTTTATCAATCGTGGCTTTCCATGGTTATTGAAAACAAGTATTGCTTTTATCATTGTTAATGCACTGTCATAGTACGTAATAAGCTTTCAAAGAGAGAACTTCTGCAATCTTAACGAAAATATATTTCTTCCTTCTCTGGTAATCGGTGCTGCCACCTTACGCACCAATCCGAAAATATACTCAACGTCACCGTCGTAGTCAGGTTACATTTTTGGGAACAATATATTTTTGTATAAATCTTGTTTCCCATTTACAAAATAAGAAACAATAATGACGGTACTTCTTATTTAATTGAACGGCCAAATTGGTATGTAATTTTGTTTATTACCATATCATAGAATTAGTTGGTTTACTTTAGACCAAGGACTGAAGGAGCTCAATACCCAGCTAGATATAATCAAGAGCGTATAATGAAGCCTTCTTTATACGCTCTTGATATAATATAATATTTCGCCGTTGCTCTTGACCTGTCTGGGCGTAACATTCGTTTCTCGTGTGACGTAGACTCCACGAGTTGTCGCGCATAGAGAAGCGAGGTCATGTACCCACGGCAGGGACGCAAATCCATTTTAAAAAGTGGGGGACCAGACGTATCTTGTATCTTGTATCTTGGGGTCCCTCTCTTGTATTTCACAAGGCACAGATTCTCTTGGAATGTGCGGGGAAATCCTGTAGATAAGGAAATTCTGTCTACAAGTTAGCATTATAATTTACTTTCTCTAATTGATAATGCCTTCCTAACATATTCTAGTGCTGGTTTTAGTATTTTTGGGTAATCACTTTTCCAATCTTCTACCCGTTCCCCTTTATTATACCCTCTATATATCTTACACGAGTATAAATGTTCCAAATTTTTTTTTTTTTTTTCGTCACACAAATCACATATATCGTTACTGTAGTAATTTTTAAAATAACTTTTTAAGTTAATCATGCACGTCTTACACCTAAACACAAGGCATGCATCATCAAATGACAGTTTTGTCATATATGGCTTTAATACATAGCTTTCGATATTTATCATTTTTGTTTTTGTTTTCTCACCAGACCTCATTGTATCTCTCATAATTACTGTTTTTAAAATAGTCTCCTTCACATATTTTTTCCATTCTTTCTTATGTTTCGAACCAATAGTCATAAGTGACATACTTATGTCATACTCCTTCAAGATTTCTAAAACCTCATTTGCCCAATTACTTCCAATTTCTTTAATTTGTTCTAAAAATACTCTTTTCATTAATCTATCGTTTTCTAACTTAATAATATATTGCAATAACATTAACTTTTTATAACTTATTCTATCTTTTATTGGAATTATTCCCATTTCTATTCTTAGAGCCTCTAGTGGTGTTTTGCTGTGTGCTTGGAGTATCCTTCTTAAACATTCATTTTGGAAATTCTCTACCATTTTTTCCTCTTCTTTAGTGAGATTGGTCCAAGTTTCGCTATTATTTAGTAGTGACGGCACTACAGTGCATTCGTAAAGTTTAACCCGTGCTTCCATCGCATAGTTTCCAAAATTTTGTTGATTAGCCATAGATATGACTTCACTCATCATAAATCGACCTTTATCTGTTCTGTGTTTTATCATTTCTTTATATCCTCCTTTTTCACTTAAAATCTCGCCTAAGTATGTATATTCCCTACATCCTTTTATCATTTGATCTCCGAGAGGAATCTGTTTTCCTTTGCTGCTTGGTCCTCCAAATTTTATTTCCAATATATTTGTCTTCTTCATATTAAATTGTAGTAATTTTTCTTCCGCCAGCCTAGTACACGCTTGTGCCATTTTTGTCATAGTCTCCCAATTCCCAATTCCCAGGATATCATCCATATATAAAAGAGGCGTGATTTCTATTGAGTTCCCATACATATATACCGGTGTACCATAATTATGTATTTGGTCTAACGTGATACAACATAATATTGGGCCTAGCACGGTCCCTTGACGCACTATTTCATCTATTTCGAATGTTTCTGATAATCCTACAGGTGTTTTAACTGCTATTGTGGCTTTTTCATTCATTTTGTATATTATTTCCCAACAAGGTCCTTTTAATCCTTTAAAAAACAGGTCCTTTTAACCCTAACCCTAATCCTTCAATGATTCAAGAGCCTGCGAGGGAGCGAAGCGGCCGAGGGTGGAGCTGGGAGGGGGGTATCCTCCGTCCCAACGGTAGAAACTTTTCGTATTTTTGATCTCTAAAGACTAAAAGGTTTATTTTTGCGCATTTTAATTGCAAGTATCAACTATTGTTTGTATCGTTTACATGCCATAAACTAGGTCATCTGATCACTATAGGTCGATGAATTTTCAAAACTTTCCATTTCAAATAATGTTTTTTTGACTTCTTCGTGTATTTCGTTGATTGTATTTCATCAGGGTCTTCGATCCATTTTGAGGATAGGGGGGGGGGGGCAAACAATATATTTATAATTTAACGTTTTAAAGTATGGTAGCTTCAACTATGATATCTTTATGTATCTCATTTATGTCAAAACAAAATTTAAACTTGATACTTTTCACATGTACTGGACTTACAACCATTCTCTGAGTGAAACATGTTTCTTTTTACGGATACTGAAGTCTGAGAATAACAAAAAAAGACTGGAATCCGCCTTGAGAACTCAAGGAAAATATCTTGATGCCAATTGGCATCTACAAATGAAAATTTATGGCAATTGGGAGGATGCGCAAATTAGGGCTACTACCTTTAATGTAAACACTGTTTACACTGTATCTGAAATGAAAGACACTGCGAATACCGTCTTGACCCTGTATCTCTTAACCCGTAAACTGCTAAAGGTTTTTTTTTGATTTTGGAGATTTTGAATGTACACTCCTCAAAAGGTTCGGAAATTCAGGTTTACTCGATGATATCTCTATTATACCTGCATGATTATTATTGCATTTGGTATCGTTGGAAAGCCTGTTCATTTCCCTTCACAAAACAGTAAAATAGTCAGGTTATGTACTTAATGGTATATGCAGCGGGGACCTTACATGAAAGGTCTGCTTCCTATTTCTGAAGTGAAGTCTACTGATGAAATTTTATCATATATATCTATGCTAAGATAACCTTTCTTCATTTTAAATTCATAATGTTTGCAAAATATTCTTTTTCTCGGAAGAAATTGCGCATGCGCGAGCACCGTTTCAGACGTGCAGTACGGCCAAAGGAAAAGTACGTAAATATAGCTTGTTGAGGGAGAGAGGGGTGGGAGACGGAAGGAAGGCGGTAGGGGAAATATCTGAGGAGCGGTGGAAGAAGAAAGAGGCTGAGCGTGCGACAAGGGCGACAAGGGGAAGGGCGGGCGAGGATGAATTAGCGGTTTTACACCCTACAGGATAGGGCGCTCTCCTAACTATAAACACATGTCTACTAATAAGAATTTATTACAGAAACCTATGTTGAGATATTCTCCAACCATACTTAATGCGTTGTCATCACAAAATAAACCTCCCCTGGTGAGATATTGCGCATGCGCTAAAACACTAATGTAGTCAGGTTATGTACTGACTGGTATATGCAGTGGGGACCTTTCATGCATGGTCTGCTTCCTATCTCTGAAGTGAGGTCTACTGATAATATTTTATCATATAGATCTATGCTAAGATGACCCCTCTTCATTTTAAATTCATAATGTTTGCAAAATATTCTTCTTCTCGAGAGATATTGCGCATGCGCGAGCAGCGGTTCAGGCTTGCAGTACGGCCTAAATAAAAGTACGTGATATAGCGTGCTGAGGGAGAGAGGGGTAGGAGACGGAACGAAGGCAGTAAGGAAAATATATGAGGGCGGTGGAAGAAGAAAGAGGTTAAGCGTGCGACAAGGGAGACCAGGGGAAGGGCGGGCGAAGATGAAGTAGCGGTTTTACACCCTACAGGATAGGGCGCTCTTCTAATTATAAACACAGGTCCACTGATAAGTATATATTACAGAAATCGATGCTGAGATAGCCCCTGACCATAATAAATGCATTTTCATTACAAAATAAAACTACTTTGGTGAGATATTGCGCATGCGCTAAAACAGTAACGTAGCCAGGTTATGTATTTAATTGTATATGCAGCGGAGACCTTACATGCAAGGTCTGCTTCCTATTTCTGATGTGAGGTCTACTGATTAAATTTTATCATATAAATCTATGCTAGGATAACTCCTCTTCATTTTAAATTAATAATGTTTGCAAGATATTCTTCTTCTCGAGAGATATTGCGCATGCGCAAGCACCGTTTCAGACCTACGGTCAAAGGAAAAGTACGTAAATATAGCTGGCTGAGGGAGAGAGGGGTGGGAAACTAAAAAAAGGTGGCAGGGAAGACAGCCGAGGGGTGGTGGAAGGAGAGCGAAGCTGAGCGTGCGGCAATTAAGACGAAGGAAAGGGAGGGCGGGTATAAAGTAGGAGTTTTGTACCCTACAGGCAAGGGCGCTCTCCTAACTATTAACACAGGTCTACTGATGAGAATTTATTACAGAAACCTATGATGAGATATCCCCTGACCATACTAAATGCGTTTTCATCACAAAATAAAACTCCTCTGGCGAGATATGACGCATGCGCTAAAACAGTAACGTATAGCCAGGTTACGTACTTAATTGTATATGCAGAGGGGACCTTACATGCAAGGTCTGCTTCCTATTTCTGATGTAAGGTCTACTGATGAAATTTTATCATATAGATAATGCTAGGATAACCCCTCTTTATTTTCAATTCATAATGTTTGAAAAATATTCTTCTTCTCGTGAGATATTGCGCATGCGCGATCATCGTTTCAGACGTGCAGTACGGTCAAAGGAAAAGTATGTAATTATAGCTTGCTGATTGAGAGAGGAGCGAGGAACTGAGGGAAGGTGGCAGGGAAGAAGGACGAAGAGTGGAACGAGAAGGAGGTTGAGCAGGTTATATCACTAGAGAGCATAAAAATGTACATGATTTTTTATGGAATCCCGCCCAGTAATTGCTCCGGCTCCGGCACTGCCTATTAATCTTATTAAGGCATCCTCTCTGCCAGGATTGGTTTATGGTATTGATATATGCTATTAGATCTCTGTTCACGTATACCAATTAAATATTTTGGCTAAAAGTATTATGATTCCATCTAAATTTTACTCGATGTCACAAACTCAAGTGTAAGAACTTTTAATTTTAATGTCTCAATCTGTGCATGTCCAAGATATGCCCCAACTATTATTTTGTTGACATTATACATCTTACATGCCTACTTAGAACACACACACACCACACACACGCACAAGCGCGCGCGGCCTTTCGTGAAAATCCATATATGCGTCACGTATTTGTGACCTTCAGGTAAATCCGCCCATAGTAGTACACGTTAACTATTAGGAAACCCCTTTATATTTTGGCACGAAATGAATTGATTCTCCGATATGTTGAATATGTCAAGGCTGTATCGTATATTACATGAGAAACGTTCAAATTGAAAATTGAACTTTAAAAAAAAGTTTAGGGTAGTCTACTTATTCATCATGTTACTCGGCTTTAGTTTTGTCTTGTTCATAAATAAACTGCCGTGAGCAAAGTTTATACAAATATTTCACGTTAGGCCTACTAAGTATAAGGCGCATAACCGTCGTATAGATTTCTCGTAGAACTTACGTACGTGTACGTGTGTTCGCACGCGCTTAGTATTTGTCAAACGAAATGTAGTTGACAATATATAATATATATATAATATATATACAATATAGACATATAGTGTTTATTCTCATACACACACGCACGCACGCATGCATGCACGCCCCCACACACATATATAAATAGAGAAATAAGGTGTCTCAAATATTAAATATAAATATTAATAGGCCTATATTAAAATATAAGAACCATCTATTTCTATGTTCTATTTCGTATATATATATATATATATATTATATGTATAATTA